GGTCGTCAAAAAGAAAAAGGAAGACTACAAAGGACTCGGGGGCTTATGAAGCCATTGAAAGATCATCTGCTTTACTTGCTGGTGTTATTGAAAAGGCAAGTGAACGTTTAAGTCGGGCTATCAGTGAAGACATGACAGAAAAACATAGCCGGATTAGGGATGAGCTACAAAGGACCACAACCATTACCGCACTTGAACGACATAAGGTAGCTCGGATGATGATAAAAGATGATGCTTTAGTTTCTTACTTTTTTAGTATCCCTGATGATGAAAAAGAGGAGTGGGCTAGAGCTTTGCTTGCCGGTGATATTTAGGAGCCTCCGATTCTTTTGGTATTGTAAGTAATTAGGATTATGCTGCACTTTATTAAATTGTATTAATTAGGAACTTGCTTCACTTAGCATATGACTATATTTTGGAATTATATATGTAGTTGGCGTACGGAGATTCATGACACGGGCAAATCTGAATTTAATTATTTATCTGAATTTGTTGCACCCAATTTCGGTTTTGTGTAGTCCAAAAGGAGAGAAATTTGATAATTGAATTCTCAATTTTATTGTTCCAACGTTATTGTATACACTCAATTGTATATATGTAGTTCAATTGATTATATATATATATATATAACCGTGGATGTTGCAGGCATAAGTGTGGCAAGTTCAAAACATGTTTTTCATGCTTTACTTGCCACGGTAGGATGTTGCAGGCATAAGTTATCTTCGTTTTCACTTTTTTTTTGTTTTACCACGGTAGGATTGCAGGCATAAGTGGATGTTGATTTTATGCTTATTTTTATTGACTATAAGAGATATTATGTTATGACTTAGTGATATTATTTACAAGGGATGAGATGTTGATTTTTTTTAAAAATTTATGTATGCATTAATTATTAAGAAACTATAGTGTGACAATATTGCATAAAAATTATATTGACAGGGGTTAAAATTATATTTTTCACATAACATATAATGGTAGATGTCAAAAGTTATCATATTTAAGCTTGTGATAATTTATTATTACATAAAAATATCAAATATTATTTTTTTTACAATTAAAATATAGTTTTTAAATTACTATCTTTCAAATAAAAAGTTTTTTTCAATAATTAAATTATGTTTTTACTATTTTAATTAATTAAAATATTAAATTATTTAAGATTATTAATCAAGGGTATTTTTGTCAAAATACAATTTTTTCAATTCCATTCCATTATCAACCAAACAGCATAATCCTCATTCAGGTGTTGATTCCATAACTCCAATCAAACAATGGAATCAGTTTATGATTCCAGCGCATTCCAATTTCATCCCCATTACCATTCCCATTACCATTCCGTCACTGTAACCAAACGCACCTTAAGTGATAGAGTTAGGCCTGAGCCCACTTTTAATACTTTAGTTGGCTCGCCCTCGTCGACTTGGATCTCCACCAGTTGCTCGACGGGTTGGGACCATGTGACCTCCTCTTGAACTCTGGGGTCTATTTCTTTAACGGTGCTTTGATAAACCATCCTGACTTCCTGTCTTCCCGATTGGTCATATCCGCACAGGGCATCAGAGTATGCAACCCTAGCCTCGTACTGGTTGCTCTTCATTTCGTCCACGCCATTTGGGGTAAGAAATTTGACTTTTTGGTGCTAAATGGAGGTGATTGCCCTCAGCGCCTGGAGGGTTGGCCTTCCAATCACGGCATTGGACTGAGAGCCCCCCTTATTACTACAAAATTAGCCATTGTGGTGGCTTGTCGAGGTTTCTCCCCTGCGGTTATGGCGAACCGAACAGTCCCCTGAGGGATGACGGAATCCCCGGTGAAGCCGTACAACGGTGGAGGTCTTTTCTAGCTGCTCATTCAGAATCCCCATCTTTTCCAGGCAGTCAGAGTATAGGAGGTCTACCGAGCTCCTGTTGTCCACTAGGGTTCGGCACACAGTATGGTTTCTGATCATGGCTTCTACTACTAACGCGTCGTTGTGGGGGAAGTGAACTCCACTGGCGTTGTCCTCATTAAACGCCACGTTGGTGCTGCTGAATCTTGGTGTTTTTACAACGGAGACACTCCAGAACCTTTCCTGGTAAACCCCTATGGCCTCGTGGGTGTTGTCCTTCCGAGATCTCCTTGAGTCTCCTCCTATATAGGGGCCGCCGAGGACAGTTCGTATGACGCCGACGAGTTCTCGGTCTTCTGGGCGCTGGTTCTCTTCTCGACATCGACCGTCATTCTGGCCGCCATGGCCATCGTTTCTAGGTCTCCGCTCGGCTTTGAACTCCTGCAGCCTTCCCTCGCGGATTACTCTCTCGATCTCATCTTTAAGATCAGTGCAGTCGTTGGTGTGGTGGCCGACATCGCCGTGGAACCTACAGTATTTTTTTTGGTTCCTTCGACTAGGATCTGACCTCATTGGCTCTGGGTGGCGCAACAAATTTCCGCGGTCGACTTGGTTGAAGACCTCCTCGACTCTTATTGTTAGTTCGTGGTAGAAATCGTATCTTTGAAACGGCCGAGGCTTACGGTTCTCCTTCTGCCTCGGCTTCTTGGCTTCTGGAGCGTTCGACGTCGTAGCTGGCTGCTTGTCTCCGCTTTCTCCACCTCGTCGCTTCTTTCCATCTTGCTTTCCTGCCGTCGACCCCTGCTCGGTCCCTTTGTTCTTGTTGGACCTCTGCTCAGGATCGTTCGCATCCGCTTCCTCAGCGTTGATGTATCCTTGGGCTTGCGCGAGGAATTCCTTGTAGCTAGACGGGGGCTTTCGGTTCAGCTCTCTCTTGAAGGGGGTAATTTTCTTCATGCTAGATAATGCCCCCATCAAGGCCTATCTGTCGGTTATATCCATTGTGGCGGCGACAACTTCCCCATATCT